AAAAATATAAATTAGGACTCTACATTTTAGAAAGGCTTGGCTATTTTTCTCTGTTTAATGTTTATTATTTTTTTATGAATGTAAAGCTCTTTTTTAACAAAAACTATATACATACATCCAAAATTTCCGACTTTGTGCAAAAATTATAAAAATTAATTCTGTAGAGTTTCACCAAAATTTCAAACTTTTTAATCAGAATCGTTAGAAAATAATTTCGTTGCAGGTTTGTAGCTCATTAGTATAATATAATGCAAGTGCAAGGTGCTGCTCATTGGCTTCCCTATCAAAAATTTTCAACATACTTACTTTGTATGAAAAAGATGCGTAACACCGTTAATAAAAAAAGCCAAAAATTAAGAGTAGCTACTTTAAACTTGCTTTTTATTTATGTATAAAAAATTTTACGATTTTTTTGTAACAAATTCTGCGAGATATAAGCTCCCGAGAAAAATATCAAACAAATTTATGATGTTACTATAAGGATGCTGTTTCAGGGCTAATACTTCTAGGATCATTGAAGAAGGTTTAAAGATCTGTTAGCCTTTGTGGAGAAAATTAGCAAAATTATTTTTTTTTAACTTTTTATTTTATCCCATTTCTTCGTTATCATATCACTTTATGCCATGATACATTTTGACGCAATTCGATTTTGCTTCTTTTACTTGTAGTTGGCATTGCTTTTTGCTTTCGTTTAATTCAAATCACATTGACCAGGTAGTATCAGTATAGCAGTAGGGTTGCCAGGCATACTGCTTTTGGGAGTACAGGTACTCTTTTTTATTGCAATGTACTCCCTTGTACTCCCAAAAAAATATATATGGAAATGTACTCCTTTATTAGTTTTGTACTTTTTTTGTTCTCCTTTTTCCAGCTATTAATATTTTAAAATATACAGGGTGTAAAATAATAACTGTCGCACAGTTTTTTCTTTGTTTTTAATAAAAGGGACCTTTATAGATTTAGCAAACATTTTATTCATTGGTTACTTTATTACATATCTTCTGTAAATATAGGCTAATTTCCCCCATTTGGGTCTTTTTTACTCCGTCTTTTGTCCAACATAAGGCCTCATACTCAGCAATCGAAAAGACTCCGAACCGGTGACTAGGAGGGCATTAATACGAAAAGAAAAAGTACAACTATAAAAGACGTGAGTGCCGCATGAACTTATCTCCCAAAGCTGGCAAATGCAAATAAGGATTAAAATTTTAAAATTAATTAAGAAGATTAATGTAAAGTATTTACAAAGTTAACAAAAAAATACTCTTTTTCGCAACATCTATAAAGGACCCTTTTATTTTTCAAAAACCCTGTGCGACAGTTATTATCTTACGCCGTGTACCTTGCCATTCATATTGTTATCAGTGTGCTTTAGACCTGGAAAATCCACTATAAACCAGGTATTCACAATACGCCAAATCTTGGAAAAGACCTGCGAGAAAAGGATCGATACTCACCACCTATTTGTCGACTTTAAAGCCGCTTTCGACAGCACTAATGGAGTTGCCTATATGCCGCTATGTCTGATTTGGCATCCCCGTTGAGCAATACCGCCAGCTCCGTCAGAATTGGGAAAGACCTCTCCGAGCCGTTCGCCACAAAACGGGGTTTCAGCAGAGCACTCCCCCTCATGTACTCTTTAATTTGATATTGGAGAAGATAATAAGAGCTGCAGAGCTGAACCGTTCAGGAACAATCACCTACAAGAGTGTGCAATTGCTGGCTTATGCCGATGACACCGACATCATCGTTAACGAAAACCGCTAAGTCTGTTCTGCCTTTTCCAAGTTAAATAAGGAAGCAAAACGAATGGGTCTGGTGGTAAACGAGGACAAGACGAAGTAGCTCCTGTCATGAAACAAACAATCAGCACATTCGCGCCTTGGCCCCATGTCACTGTTGACAGTTATAATTTCGAGAAAGTACAGATTTTCGTTTACTGGGGAAACCAGCATTAACACCGATGTCAGCATGGAAATCTAACGCAGAATCACTCTTGCCAACAAGTGCTACTTTGGACTGAGTAGGCGATTCAGGAGTAAAGTCCTCCTCGCGTGAAACACACTCTATAAGTCATTAGGCTAATGGCCGAGATCGAAAGACACGCTCTGATATTCGGACTGCGAAGATTTACGGGCTCTTACGCGTTGGCGACGGCGAATACCGCAGACATGGACATAGAGACGCGAATTAAAATACAGCGGCTCCGCTGGCTTGGCCATGTCGTTTGAATGGACACCGGTGCTCCAGCCTTGAAGGTATCCAATTCGGGAACCCGCTGGTGGTACCAGAGGAAGAGGGAGGCCCCCCCACTGCGATGGAAAGACCAGGTGGAGAAGGACTTGGCTTCCCTGGCGTGCTTTATGGAACTCGGCCAAAATTGCTTAGGCGGTTACAGAGCCAAATAAGTAGAAGAAGCGTACATACTTATGCATGTACATATACATATCTATAATATGTGCAGTATATTCAATTGTAAATTAAAAAATTTCGCCGCTTGATTAGATGACAAAACGTTTGGTTTGTGCATTCCGTTTCGATAAGAACACATAACAGTGGAGCATTGTCCAATAATGCTACAATGCAGCCGTTGCTCATACATACATACATGGAGTCAGTCAATTGATTTTTGGGAATTTTTTTGTTGAAGGTGTCAGACATTTTTTCCATATAAAAATTACATATAAGGAAAATACCTCAATTGCTAAAATTCAATGGTAAGTCCCATGCATACCTCAAACTTGCAATTTGAAATTGAATGGGCTAAAAACTGCATACTAAACTTTTTTCTAGGAAGCGTAAATAAAAAGTGCAATATTTGCATCAACATTTTCCAGAATTTTTTCTAATTTTGCACAAGATTTGGAACTCTGATTTTTGGGAGTTTGTTGTAGAATTAACCATATTTTTATAAAAAATTATTGAAGAATATTAAATAGTTGCCCGTATTGTAAAAAAAACGCTGTACCTAAACTTTATTGACTGACTGTATGTACATTAGACTGCATCACTCCCCATACAACAAAGATGCGGTACAAAACTCTATTACATATATCATAACGCTTACACCAAAATATTTTGGAAATGATATTAAGATTTACGTGAGCTGGACCTATTTGAAAATACCTCAAAAAAAAATTTTTTTATGAATAAAATAGTTTTTTAACAAGTATTTTTTGGAAGAAAACACCTTGGAGGACAAAACAGTTTAAGCTTAAAAATCTCTAAAAAAAAAATTAAAAATTGTTTTCAACGGAATCACTATAATGAGTTTTTTTATGCTGTTTTTGAACTTTTTTCAAATATAGGTTTAAGAAATACTTCAATAACTCAGCCAAAACACTTCTGATTTGGACTTTATGAGGCATTAGGTTCGTTCGCGTAGCTGTTAATTGTTCATGTTTAACCAAAACTTACAGGTTTTTGCGTTCGCGTACGCAAAAAACTTGCAAAGAAGGGGAAATTGAGAGAGCAAAGTGACATTTCATTTTGAGGGGAAGCTGTTAGATTCTGTTGGAAAAATTTTTGCCAACAGCAATTTGCCAACAGGGAAACAACTGATCAAAAACAGCTGGTTGGCATTTACGCAAATCACAAAATTTAATTTGATGGTTTGGAAGATAAAAATTACAAAATGCGACTAATTAAACTTGTAAGAAATAAGTAGTTATTTGTTTAATCAATAAACTGTGTCAGTATAACACTTTGCGATGACTTTTCGTACGTTTTAAATTT